TATTTCACATGTCTTCAGTTTGCATTTGCCCAATTTTCAGTGCTAAATCCTGACATTTTAACTTAGATTTGTAATTTTTTATACCCATCTTGTGTGAAAACACTCAGCGTACAGTCAACTCTTGATGCATCTTTATCAAGTGTTAGCAGTCATATACTTTTATTACTTAATCTTCAACTCCATAAGATTGCCACCATATTAAGAGGAAGAAATTAGGGCATCGGAAGTTCAACTCGCTTACCCAACGTCCAGTAAGTACTAAGTGACAGATTTGGGATTTGCACTCAAGGCTCACCCCCAAGCCTATGCTCTTAAGCTGCAGTGCCTTACAGTCATAAATCTGACTCAAGAGAGACCATTACAGAAATTAACCTCACTTGTCCCTTTTCCTTCCAGCTATGATTCAATACGGAATTAAGGCAGAATTCAAAAGAGAATACTGGAGGAAGGTTAGGGATATCAGCCCTTTACATTATTTTTTAACTTTTAGGATGAATTTAGTGTTTTTGCTTAAGTACTACATATTAAAATGGGAATTCAAAAGTTCCTAAAAATTGTAAGTTTAAAAATTATTCCAAATTATTAAATGTAACCATTTTCAACATCTGTTGAATATCAAGCTAGTTGAATACCCTCATTTATGCCTGTATACAACTGGATGGATGGATGGAAAGAGGAACAGAAGGTATTTTGCAGAAATTGAATTATGCTACAACTAATTAAAATATTAAATTTATACTTGAACTTATCAAAAAATGAAATAGGAATGAAGCTACCAGTGTTGAACTTGAAATGTTTCATAAACAGAAATTTACTCATTCTTAAAATACTCCTTATGATTAAGAAGGTTTAAAAAATATTGAGATAGGTATAATTTTAAGTTTCACTCAGTATCAATTTAATCCTGCCATTAAAGATAAAAGTAACGCATCTGTACTCACTTCCTCTCTCTTTTAGATTTTGTAGCTATTTCTGTTTTGTAAACATATTTAAAATCTGCATTCCCTTTGTGACCATAATCTCTGTACTTGCTTTATTTTTGTGTTTTGTATTTAAATGTATTCACTGCTCTTTCCCAGTCACATTCATAATATTTGAGGGATTTTCAAAAAGTTATGTCCAGGTTGGCTGGATTTCATTGTCATATTAATTTTTTTGTATGCCTTTTCAGTTATGGCTTATGCATGATATATTGCTGAAAATTCTGCTTGCTCTTAAAATTTTATAATTATGTATGTATGTATGGCTTTTTTTTTTTTTTTTAACTTGCAAGAGGATACTGAGCACTCATTACCATGTTAGACTGAGTGTTTAGAGATATACACGTTGAAATTCCTGACCTGGGGAACTTTAAAGTTGAACAGTCAACCATATACTATACTAAATACAATGACAGTTATGCCCCAGATGTTGTATGAGTTTTCTTTCTTTTTTTTTTTAAGATTTTATTTATTTATTTGACAGAGAGAGAGAGACAGTGAGAGAGGGAACACAAGCAGGGGGAGTGGGAGAGGGAGAAGCAGGCTTCCTGATGCAGGGCTCGATCCCAGGACCCTGGGATCATGACCCAAGCCCAAGGCAGATGCTTAACGACTGAGCCACCCAGATGCCCCAAGTTTTCAAAAGAGGAAGAAGAGTTTGGGCAAAAGCACAGAGATGAGAAACAATCATGCAGAAGTACCATCGGAATTTCAATAGCGTGGGAGTACATGGGTAAGACCCAACAGGATGACAGAAAGTCAGGGGCAGGAGGTATAGACTGGCCCTTTAAGGCCCTGAAACCCAAACTTTCTTCATAGGCAACTGTATAATAAAACTGTGTTAGTCAATTCCTGCCCCACTCCTACCTCCACCCTCAGTTGTATGCTGTCAATTTGACTGTCTTTTGGCATGAAGTATTACATTTGTCCTTTTTTCACGACATTTTTGAGTTGGCTCTATCACAGAGTTGACTTTTTCAGTAATGGCTCTGATAACACACATATTCCCTGAAAAAATATTTGACACACATTTGACAATGTCTGCCAGTTGCTTTTGCACTTGAGAACAACTTGGCTACAAATAATATTGCAGTTTCACACCTCCTTTCTTTCAATATCTGCAGGATACTACTCTACTCTTCTCAGGCAATAGATTTTGCTTTATGGAATGGTGAAGCCAGCTTAATGTTAAGCCCTTTCAAGTGACTTGCTTCTTCTCTTAGGATACCTGAAGAATTTTGTTTCTCTTATCCTTTAAGATTATATATATATATATATACCTGGGGGTTATAAATTTCTGTAAGTTGTCACCTCTCATTTTTTTTTCTGAAAATAAAAAATGTGTACCCTTTTCACTTGGGTTTCAGTTCTTCCTGTACTCTAGGGCTATTTTACTGTATTATATCTTGAATAATTGGTTTATTTGTTAACCTCTTTTTTGTTAAGTATCATCATCTGGCCTTTATTTTTTTATTCATTGTCTTCTAATTAATTATATATTTATCTCTTCCCTTTACACTTAAATCAATATGCCAGTTTTTCATTTTGAAACCTTATTTCTTTCTGATTCTAATTTGTTTACGTATCCTGTTTTGACCTTGTTTAGAGTCTTTATTTTTACCTCAGCTCTAAATTCCCCATTTTTGTATCTTGGCATTGACTTGTCATCTTGTTCTGGAGCTCTTGTTTTGTTGAATCTAGTTGCTTAAATTCTCTAGCATGAAGAATTCTCATGTAATTCTTCTTCTGTTCCTTGGGTTGTGTTTAATTTCAGACTGGGGATTGTTCCTTTATTTTGTCCTGCTTTGTTTTACTCAGTGTGTTTATACAGTGACTGTGCCTTTCTTTGCCCCCATCGCTCTTGTTTAATTTGGGATTTGTTTTCTTACCTCACCATATTTTACTATAGGTGGGAATTTACTCTGACATGCTTTGTTTTTGTCTTGCTGTGGCAGCTGAAATACTCACTCTCCCTGGCCCTGGAAAATGTCCACTCCCGCAGTCCCTAGAGCCTTTGAATATGTTACCTTACGTGTCAAAAGAGCCTTCATGAAGGGAGTAAGTTAAGGATTTTGAAAGGGGAAGATTATGTTGGATTACCTGTGTGGCGCCGATATAACCGAAAGAATCCTTAATAGAGGGGGAGTATTAGAGTGGTAGACTAGAGATACGGTAGCAGAGGCAGATGCTGAGGTGATGTGTTTTGAAGATGAAGGGAGGTAAAAAGAACCAAGGAATGCAGGCAGCCTCTAAAGCCTAGAAAAGAAAAGAGTACCGATTCTCCACTAGAGCCTCTAGACTGAACCAATCTTGCTAACACCTTGATTTCAGGCTGTGAGACCCATATCAGACTTGTGACCTCCAGGACTGTAAGATAGTAAATTTGTATTTGAAGCCACTAAATTTGTTCTACTTTACTATAGCAGCAATAGGACATGAATACAGTAAAGGATCTTTAGGACAATTCTTTCTCTTAGATCCAGACATCATTTGAGCCATTTTACTTGTGGGTGAAGTTACTCTTTTTTTTTTTCCCCTTCCAAAGAGTATTGACTATTAGTTCATAATTCTCCTTAGTCACTAGCCTGGTCAAGGAAACATCTGTGATTATTTCATTGATTATATTTTCTTTTCATCTCTGATTGTCAGTTCCTTCCTGGCGCTCTGCTCTGTAGGCATGTGTTTTAAGAGGTAATACTTCTATCCTTAGAAATGAATTGTCGTATGTATCTACCATACTTTGCCCATTCCTCTTGAGTTAGAAACTAAACTGAAATTACAGCTCCCTGCTAGTGTAAATAGTGGTATGGGTATCACTCTTATAACAACCCCTTTATGGAATGAGATTATAGGGTTATGGGTTAGATGCTTGTTTAATTTGGCAATAAGTTGACTAATGGCTACATAAGACATTTTAGATCATGAAGATTCCTTTTTTTTTAACCCATATCCTTATAATCATTTGTATAGTTTGACCTAATTTTTACTGATGTGATACATGTAAAATAGTATCTAATTCTTGTTTTCATTTTTTCTGATAGCTAACAAGGCTGAACATTTCTTGATGAATATGCCTGCCATTCAGTGGCTAAGAGCCTGAGCCCCTAGTAAGTGAGGGGAATGTACAGCACCTACTAGGGCCAAAGGGGACTGAAGGAGGCTCTAGATCATGGCCTGGTTCTAGTGCAACTGATAAGGTGGCAGTAAATACAGATTGTCCCTAAGAGAGGGGGTGTATGCAGTAGTGGATGGGAGGTGGGATGGAGCTAACTGCAGAGTTCAAACCCTGTACAGAGCCCAGCTGTTTCCAGAGGACACGGACTGGGGCCTGGAACAGAAGCCTGGGGAATGAGACCTTCAGGCATGGCAAGAACGGGACTCATTCTGAGGGCCAGGGAATATAAATCCAGGGGCTTTCTCTTTCCCCAAGCCTCTGGGGAAATAATTAGGAAAAGAGTAGCAAAAGAGACAGTGGCTTGTTGTAAAAATAAGATGAGACTATTCCCAGTAGTGGGGGAAATTCAATATATTTAGGGTTGTGTAGAATTATGAAACGTCCTCAGATCCACACCTACACAACAATATATACTTCAGCTATAACTATTTCACATAAGTTAGATAGTATTACTAATAAGATCTAACGTTAACTGTTTTCTAGCATTCAGGCATGGTTCTAAGCCTAGTTCTCTCAGGTACTGCCTTATCTTCTCTGTGGAAAGATTTAGAAGTGTGGTTACTGTAGACACATAAACGAATGTTCTTTGTTTAATTCAAGTCATCTATTCTCTTGTTTTGATATCAAGTGCAAGATACACAAATTCAAGTTGATGATAGTTTCCAGTGGATGAGTGCAGTCACTCTGGTCAGTTGGTTGTGGCAGTCCTTCTGTGCTGTGAGTACCAGCTGGACCCCTGTGATGTAATCTGTAGGTCACAGAAGACTGATGCTGACTTGCATCATAATAGCCCTTGATGGTATACTGAGTGCTGGTCAGGACAGTGGTTCAGTGAGAAACTAGTTTTTCGAGTGATTTGTTGTACTTGATTGTACTAGTTTGATTCTTTGTTATAATCGCTGACTTTTTGAGAGCAGAGTTTCAGGGAGAAAGGTACTGTTCGGAGTCCCTCTCTGAAGAGGTGAACCATGAAGCAGAAACAAAAAAGGAAACATCTAGAAAACCCATACTCCCCCCCAACTGCCAAAAAGTCAAGAGGTATGTGTTAAGCATCTTCTCTGAGCATAAGGTAACAAGGAATTGTCTCTAAAGAAAGAGAGAGAGGGGATTCCTGGTTGTGATGAGGGAGAAAAGGAAGGAGGAGGGGGAGGGAAGTGTATATGCTGGTCTTTCTGAGGACTCAGGTAATCTGAGAGTAAAGGGAAATGACCAAAGCCTTATCTTGGCAGCTGAGTACCTGTGCTGTCTACACACGTCACCCTGGGTTACTGTGTCACAGACGTTTAGTGGTTGATTAGTACAGTTTTTGTTGAAAATTGTGTTTTCCTTTATTTCTGCCTAAGGGCATTGGTTAAGCATATGATGTTATTAAAAGTTTTCTAGTAGTACTTTCTCCTGTTAATGAAGAAGAAAATGTGGCTCATAGAAGTGAGAAAAAAAATTTTTTTTAAAGCAGTTAAAACTGGTTGTACAGGGGACGTCTGGGTGGCTCATTCGTTAAGCGTCTGCCTTTGGCTCAGGTCATGATCTCAGGGTTCTGGGATCGAGCCCCACATCGGGCTCCCTGCTCAGCTGGAAGCCTGCTTCTCCCTCTCCCTCTCCCTCCCCCCCCCACTTGTGTTTCCTCTCTCTCTCTGTCTCTCTCGGTCAAAAAAAATATTAAAAAAAAAATGGTTGTACAGGGATGAGAGTATAAGGTCAGAATTTACTTACTCAGAAGCAAAAAAGAACTGTTTCATCTCAGACGATGAGAACCTAAGTGTGGGGCTCCTATGTGAAATGCAAGGAAAAGGCTAAATACACACACACCGCTGTTTAACCGTTAAATTGAGGAGATAGTTTGTTTCTTTCTGAAAAAATGAAAAACTGAAAGAGTTCCAGTTACTATGGAGATTAAAAGTAAACAAGTAACTTCTGTGAGTCAGACCATTGTTCAGTGGTGGGAGGGGGACAGATTAGAGCTAACCCCAAAGTTCCAAGTGGTGGCTCCTACTCCAAATGATAACTTGGTATTTCCAACAATGTTGGGGGCTTCTGGGCAGACAGGCCTGGAAAGTGAGGTTGTCTGCGTTTCACCTTCAATAAAATTAGTGCATGTTGAGAGTTGTTATTGAGTGTAAAGTATGAGACCAGTAAAACACACGCTCACAACCATGTGTTTACGTAGATGTACATATAGAATGTAAATTCGCCAGGAAAAGGTAATTTCGTCAAATATAATTGTCCATTTACTCTGTACCAGGTCCAATTATTTGCCTCTCAAAAACACATTATATCCCTATTTCGTTAGCTAGAGTAGATTTGGAATTTGTAACTAATACACAAATCTATTTCTTTCGTAACAATTCAGGGCATATGAAAGGAGTATGGCAAGTCTCCTGGGCTTATGGAAACTTTGCTGTCATTAACATGAGCTTTCAAATAGACCCTGGGTTATCAATATCCCAGTCAGCTGGAAAAGTGAAGAGTGTGGAGAGACACAGAGGAGGGGATTATGATTCTGTCTGGAAGTGGCCCATGTCAGTTCCACTCATTTTCCATTTTAGAAAACTTAAGCACATGGTCAGAACTGCCACAAGAGATGCGGATAAATGCAGTCTAGTAGTATGTCCAGGTAGAAAGGGGATAACTTGCACTTTCTGGTCCATTTACAAAGAACACACCTCGTACAAACCCAACTACTCCTGATATAAACACAATAAATGAACCATTTTATGCTCTTCATGAAAATGGAGGCCATGTGTGTTCAATAAACGTGTCACATAGTAGACTCTTCTTGTTTGCTTAATGGGTGGGTAAAGGCACAAACACTAAACATGGACCACATCTCTATTATTTTTATGTAATTTCCCAGCAAATCTGAATTTACAAGATCTGCAGTATAAACACAAGGCAGTGCCCTTAACTTCAGCCCAGGCAGCAAAGAGGGTGTCATCATCTTCCTCAGAGTACTTCTCCTGCATCTCTTCAGAAGACAAGCTCAATGTTGCTGGTAAGGAGAGTATATTGAATAAATTGGGATCTAGGCAGGGGCCAGAGATGAACTGAATGATTCTGACCATCGGTTGATACAAGGCTGCCCAATATGGAAAGAAAACTCAGACTGTCTCCGTCTTCTTCCATGATCAGCAGAAACCATCACTTGCCAGGGAAAAATCCTTGAAAGGACTGGAGTAATCTCAAAAAGATCAGCGGAGAGCAGTGTTTTTTTGAGGAAATGGTGGGAGAGGGTCTGGGTATGAGAATTTTACCAGAAAAACATGGAAGAGTATGTCAGTATGAACCAACAAAAGCATTTATGTTATCAGGAAGGCGTGAAAGTACCAACAGCTTGAAATAGGCCAGAAATGGTCAGATCCTCAAAAGCTGGACTTGAGGTGGAGTACAGAGACATCCAGTCCAAGACCCATTCCTTTCATGTATTTTGATAGCCTGTGTTCTGACATTCATCCCTATACAGACCCTCTGCCCTCTTTATCCTCAGCTTTCAATTCCTTATAATCTTCCACGTGCTTCTAAATTCTCTATGCCTTCTTTTTGTCCCTACCATAAAAACTGTGATAATTTTTCTGACTTCTAAAACTCTAGATTAGTTATCCCTGTTTTTAAATTTCACAGAAGCATACAATGATAGTTTGTGTCTGGTTCCTTTCACTCATCATTAAATCTGTGAAATTTATCTAATATATATATATACATATTAGATTTATATATATATATATCTTTTACACAGTCTTCTCTACACCCCCATTTACTTTGGATCTTCACATAGTCTCAAAGCTCGTATATTCTTTCTCCTACAATTTTTGACTTTTACATCCTCTACTGTTCTTTCATTATTCCCTTAGATGTCACAAATACACCAATTCTAGTCTCAAAGAGAATATTCCTAGTATTTATCTGGTACATCTAAATCCTATAACAACATATAAACACCCAAATCTGTAGTCATAGGACATGGAATCTACACACATGGATATATGCTAAACTAAAACACACAAAGCACGCATACCATTCTCACTCACACAAAATGCACCCCATATTCAGATTCACAAACACCAAATCAATTACACATTAAGCCCTGACCCTGTTTTAAGCAATGTGTTAGGAACTTACACACACAAAGCACATTGCATCCATCACACCGTTATGCTACAATAGGTGCCTAATACACGTATCAGGCACATCCATAGGAGATGATGATAATATTAAACAGTTAACTAGTGAGCAGTGAGCTTGGTTAACATGGCAACAGAGACACTGACATCATAATAAAGAATATGTTCTTCAAAAATAAAACTTCAGTTGTCTCATCTGAGGTTGTAAATCTCTAGGAGGTAGAATGCAGAGGGTAGAAGTGTAACAAATGTAAAGGAAGGCAAATGGTTCTGAAAATCCTAACCAAGGTGAATCAGTATCAGGAGCCATGGTAGCAGGATCCAGATTGAAGAACAGGTTACTGAAATATGCCAATTCTCTGCCCAAACTAAAGATAACTACTTAGGATAAAGTAAGTATTTCCATGGGGGGCAGTGGGGAGAGTAGGTTAGGGAGAAGAGTGTAAGAGGGGGAAAAGAATGGAACCAGCTGTTTTTATGACTTTTGTTCAATTTTTTAGGAACCTCAAAGTTAGACACATATGATCCACCAGCTGGCTGCTCTTTGGAAGACAATCCTCCGGTCTCTGAGGCAAGTGGATCCTCTGAATCGGAATGCTTATCCTGTTGGTCCTCCTTGTGCCATCGCTCTTCTGCTGGTAAGGATAAAGGAAGGGCATTTAAAGTCTAGGCCGATGAGGGAAGTGGGAATCTGAACAGACCTGTAGACATCGGTCTACAGCTCAGCATCTGTCCTCAGCCAGTGGGAGAAAGGTGCACATTGGGCCCAGTTACAATCGTATCTTCCTCTCTTATTTGGGAATATGGGTCTCTTGTTTCTGTACCTTCGATAGGAACGCATTACCAACAGTTTTCACTTTTAGGTGGTAGAGAGGAACTCTATGCATACATTTGGGGGAAAATATCATTTCTTGAGGGAAGAAGTGGAATTCATAGGCACAATATTCACAATTGCTGTGGTGTCAGTTAAACCTACAAGTGAAAAATTCACATAAAATTAAACCATAGTTTGTAGTACTGCAGAAATAGCTGACCGCAGAAAATGTAAAAGAGCTCTGAATCGATAGTCATCCGTGTTAAAGGGTCCTATGGTAATGACTTACTGAACACGAACTCACAGTATAAAACTACAAAGCATATAATCTAAGGTAGATTCTGCAAACACAGTGAACACTAAGTTTTAGCTTCAAAGAAGATCATTTAATTGAACAGTGCTGTAGGGATGGTAAATAAGAATGTTTACAGTTATTAAAGATGTGAAAACATAAAACACTACCAAGAAAAAAAGATTTAAAAAACCTGAAGTTTTAGAAATGAAAAATAATGTTCTAGAAATTAGAAAAAATGTGGATGAGTTAAAAATGTCACATTCGGCACAGAGGAAAAGAAAATCTGTGACCGGAAGGATAGAGCTAGGGAATTACCTACAGATATAAATGAGAGAGATCAACAGATGGGAAATACGAAAGAGGGATTAAGATAAGTGAGGATAAAATGTGAAAGTATGATATCTCAAACTGAGGTTTGTGAAGAGTAAAACAAAGAAAGTAAGACAGATAATTGCCAGTTTTTTTCAGAATGGTGGAAGATACAAATCCTTAGAATCAGGGAGCATTCTTAGGAAGCTCATTACAGGAAAGGCAAAAATAAATCCACACCTGAGTACACCAAAACCAACATTCAGAACCTCCATAAGAAAGACCTTAAAGCAACTGAAGAGAAGCACACCATCCTTCAAAAGAATGGTGATTTGTCAGACAGCAATTGTAGAGACCTAATGACAGTATGACATAATGTGCTGAAGGAAAAGAACAGTCATATCATAAAGAATAAGGGTGAAAAAAAGGCATTCGTCAGATAAAAAGTAGAAAAAATAAAATATAAAAAGCTAAAAACACCGAATCTATTGAGAAAGATGAAATGGAACACAGGAACGAAAGGTGAGCTGAGAAGTCTATGATTGTAGGTAGGTAGGTTTTGATGATTTACACACCCAAACCAGGAAACGCTAATTGAGTGATGATCAACAAAACAGGAGTAACTGAAGTACCAGATGACAGTCACATATAACGTGCCTGGGAGTTCAAGTGTTTTAGGCTCCTTATTTCGCACAAAGAGTGGGTAGCACCATTGACTCAGCAACTCTGCTCTCAGAAAAGAAAGGAAATTGGGTAAATAGAGCCTACCCATTTGTAAAGGCCCCCGTCAGTCCAGAGTATGTGGAGAGCCTTAGCTTAAGGTTACTATATTTATTATCAGCTATCAAATACTTCAACAAATTACCACAAATTTAGTGGATTAAAGACAACAAAAATGTATTCTGTTATAGTTCTAGGGCCAGAAGTCTAAAATACGGCATATGGACCCACCCATCTAATCCAAAATTATCTCCCCATCTCAGGGTCCTTAGTTTAATAATATCTGCAAAGTCCTTTGGTCCTTATAAGGTAACATTACAGGTTCTGGGGATAGGATATGGGCAACTTTGGGGCAGGCATTATTCAGCCCATAACAACTAAAATGAAAAGCATTACACACAATGACGTATGTATAGTCAGGTAAACAAATATTAAAATATATTGACTGTACTCTGTGATGGCACAGTTCCAAGACACACTGCAAGGATCTCCATAAAGACAAAGTACATATATCCAGCTATCCATCAACACTTGGGAAAAATGAAAAATTGTCCAATACTTATATTTTGGAGCTTTGGCCAGAAAAGAGACTGTGGTGTCCACGTGTGTCTGACACAGAGTGAGCAATCCAAATGCATCGAATGTATGAAACAGTGGATATATCTCTTTAATTTTAATTCAATTTACAGAAATCTTAAAGAAGCGAAGGGATGCTACAGAGCCTAGTCATAGTTCCCCGCAGGAAGAAGACAATGTTGTTGTCTCAGAACGCGTGTCTGACAATAAGAGTACTCGTAAGTAGAGATGTCTGAACTGGAGGTGGGGGGTGGCAAAGGGAGATATAAGTATGTCTGAGGGTCCAGCTGAACATTCCCTGTCTACAAACTGATAGATGAGAGCTGTAAGCTGATCCAAGCCCATGTCCAGACTAAAATAAGAATGCGAGGTCTCTTCCTTCTCTAGGAGATATTTATTGCATCTATATAAAACAAAACCTGGCGATTGAAGGGAAATCTCAAAAAAGACAAATATCTGAAAGTGCAAGGTTATCAGGACAGGGACATATTTGCAAAGATGGAGCCTAAGGAAATGTTAGACCTCTCTGAGAAACGGGAAGATAAACTCAGTCTGAACCTGGAAAGATGAACTCTGTTGGGTCAGAATGTGGACAGACCTCTGACAACCAGTGTGAAATGGGCCAGCAAGGACCCATTTAGAGCACCTAAGGAGAAACCACTAGATTTCACTTTTTTCTCTGAAGAGCAAGCTCCTTAGCATATGTCCTTTCATGGGTGGAGAAGGGACAGAGATTTGAAAGGGGTCCTTAGATTTCTTCCTCCAACAACCTCTTACCCTCATAAACACACAGAAATCTTTATTCCCTCACACCCACCACTAGACTTAGCACAACGTCCTCTCACATTTACCCCGATTAACACTCCTCCCTGAATTTCCCATTCTCTGCTCCTATATCTTTGCACTCTCAGACACACTCATAAGCTTAGATCCTCATGTCTTGAACCTTTACATCTCATTTTGCAGCATATGCATTCCTCATGTTTGCTTTCTCTAACGTCCTTCCTTATTCTAATCTTGAACTCACAAATAATCTCACTCTTGTAGAACTTTGTAATTTCACATTAACAGTGCACGAAGCCAATACAATCATACAGCATTTTGTAAAACTCATCTGTTTCCAGCCTCTTAGGCCGCATGTAATTCCACAGTCTAGGAGCTCACATGAGGTCTCGCATCCATCCTTCACATGGTTGGTTTGTACCACTTTCATGATCTCAGCAGATACCACAAAATTACCCAGGTCCATATCTCACTCACAAACCAAATATATATTCTGTAACTACTTAAACTTGAGTAGTACATGACACACAGATCCTTCGTAATACAGGGAAGATGTACTGCCTATACATCTACGGAAGGATGCTGCAGTGTTACCCAACACATGATGCTCACTCTACCTTCACATACAATGACCATGTCACCCCTACACTCTCTACATAAAATTGTTGGGGAAACATGACAGACACATACACACATCAGACTGTATTCCCCAAACATGGTACATATACTAAGTTTCTAGAAAATATACCACCCCCACTGACTTGTCTCATCCCTATACCAACATGACCTACCCAACACTCTCCAGTGACCTAAGAGAATAAGTAGATGTATTTTGTGGAGTAAAAATTGGGTTATAAGCTTAACTGAAGTTTTTAAACCCAGGAAGAGACTTAATATGTTTGAGTTATTTTATCAGGAACAGAAATTTACCTATTTCCTGAAAGTTGAGTTTGGAACTGTAGATTAGGAGGAAGAAAAACTGGCAATTTTTGTGATATGTTTACATTCACAGTAGGGGTAGAGATAGTCCCAGAAGTACACATATTTTACTAGGAAAATAACCAACAGCCTAGAATGTAGCTGTCAATTGGGAAGGTTTAAAGGTAAGCTTATGAGTATGGTAAGTACAGATGCAAAAATTGATCAGAACAGTGTGTGGGGAATGTGAGGAGGGTGACACCACCGACTGGGCCAAGTGACAGCTGAGCCGTTTGGCAGTCAGTAGCTCCTGACAGGGGAGCTGTGCCCAGTGTTGGGAGGTGTGGTCTGAAGTCAGCCTTGGGGATCCCGCTGGAGTCTCCTGGTCCTGCAGAACTGTGCAGCAGAGCCCTCAGGTGAGGTCCCACAGGAGCAGATATCTGGAAGAGGAGGCCAAGGACTAGCAGTGAAGTTGGTCAGTTCTTTCCTGTAAATTCTAACCGTTTCAGGAAGTAACAGGACTTTTCATATCATAAAGCACAGCTAGCAGACTAAAGACCTTTACGGACATGCTCCAAATTTATTCTTGTGGTAAACAGAGTAGTGATAATACAGGCACCTCACCATGTACCAGGCAAGAATTTGAGCCTCTGATCCATGGCAGAAAACAACATGAGGCTGTCATTGGTAACCAGACAATTCATTCCAGCAAATATTTTTAGATACCTAGATTTTAGAACTTTGAACAGAAACTAGACTGTAATCTTCATGGGGACAAGTGCTGTGTGCATTATTATACACAGTATCTCTTGAATGTTTAGTGAAGGCAAAAAATATCATTTATCTGATTTTCCTTCTCTTTCCCAGAAGTCTTAAACACAGATGAAGACATTCCACCTCCTGGGCCCTCTGGGTTGGCCCAAGGCCATGGCCAGACAGCAGGGGATTCAGACTCAGAATACTTCTCTTGTGTCTCTTCTCCATACAAGCTCATTCACAGTGGTATGTGGTGGGGGAGAGGAGAGGCTGAGGGGGAGTCAGGCAGGGAGGTGAGGCAGCATGTTAGCTGAAAATTAGAATTAAGTGCCAGTGCTCAGCAATGGCCATAAATGACCCTTTCACTCAAGAACTGCCCAAGGTCTCTGTTTTTAATTGATAGGCAGAAATGTACCTTGTCAGCATCCCTGTCTTTTTTGGAAGAAGCTCTTAAAGGTTCTGAATGGGAAGATTAAAAATTTAAGAGAAATGCAGAAATACATTTCCATAAGAGGAGTTTGGCCAAGTCTGTGAAGTCTTAATTCTGAACATTTCCAGCACCAGGGCTCCCTAGAAACCCTGAAAATTTATTTTATCTCTATCTATAATATCTTTATATCTATCTTTCTGCTTATCATCTATCTATTCTCTCGCTCTACATATATATGTGTGTGTGTAGATAGATATTGATATAGAAGTAGATAGATACACATGCAGAATTCTTCATAAAACTTGCACCCCATGCCCCATAATTGCAGTTTCTCATGAGGAAAATCAAGCTAAGAATATCCAACTTTAGTGACTGCATACTGTTTTACAGGCATAGTTATTTCTAAGTGTTCAGTATTCTCTACACATCTCCAAAAATCTCACATGCAAGATACTCAGTATTATGGGCATCCACCATAAATACAATTTTAATAATTGTTATTTACTTATTTTTTAGAGTAAGGAAAGTTTTAAAAGGTAAAGTCATCTTAAAATTGTAGGGTTTCAACTGAGAAAATCACCTTAATTTCTATGAGAGCAAGTCTCGTGTGTGGTAATGATGTCGAACTTATATTGTCTTCTCAATGCAGCTCTTTCGAATGGACACAGACTCCAGAAAATGCCGCATCTCAATGTTTTGTTTTGTTTTTATTCCATTTGCCAGAACTCTGGAAGAGTCAAGAGGATGTGCCTCAGCCTGAATCATCTGCGGTGGTCCCTCCTAGCAGGGAGACAGCAGGAAAAAACTCCTCTGCCTCAGAATACTCCTCATGTGTCTCCATAGAGGAGACTAAGCTCATTCCTGCCAAAGAGGATGGTAAGGGAAATACATAGGTAGGGTCTGCGCATGGATAGGAGGTACAACTGAGCTGCTCAGCCCAAGCCCTACTTATTTAACTCTCCACTTAAAAGCAGAAAAAGGCTTCAGGGCAGAGGCACTAGGACTGAAGCCTCTGCAGAGGGACAGAAAGAGAGTGTGCCTTCAAGGATAGGACCCAGTTACTCATATGAGCACTGGGATAGCTGCAGGTCAGGTAGAGCACCATGCTGGTGTGGGCATTTCATCACACCTTTCTCCCTCAGATGAGCATGAACTCATATCCTCACACACATTCCTGCATCTTTCTCCCTTCCAGTTATGGTCCCATTTCTCCTTCCTTTTACTTTTGGACATGGCTTCATTCCTCATTAACCTTCCCATTCTCTAGTAGCATGGCGCAGATATGCCCTCCTACCTTCACTCCTTCACACAATCAGACTAATCCCATAAGGAATTTACATCCCCTCACACAGATCACCTGTTTTAACTCCCTCACACTAAGCCAAACTGTGGAAAATTGGTATACCCTGAGGAGGATGGACTTTCATATAGAGCCTTTCTCATCCACATGCCACTTCACGCACAAAGACATCAGCACTTCAGGTCACTTGCGCTAACACCCTAAGTCCTCTTGTCTCACGACAAGAAACAGCACCACTCCTGCACTTATTCACATGCACTGTCACACTGTGTAATACACATGCACACACTCATTCACTGTCACCTTACAGCAACATCAGAAACACTCACCAGGGGTGCCTGGGTGACTCAGTCATTTGAGTGGCTGATTCTTGGTTTTGGCTCAGGTCATGATCTCAGGGTCGTGAGATCGAGCCCTGCCTCAGGCTCCACACCCAGCAGAGTCTGCTTCTCCCTCTCCCTCCACTCCTCCTCTCTCTCTCAAATAAATAAAATACTAAAAAAAAAAAAAAACCCCACTCACCAGATGTGTCCCAAAACACAGATGCAACTCCACAAGATACACCACACCCTCATTCCCACATAGTTACACCATATACACACCTCAAATAAAACATAGCACTCACAGAATTCCGAAATATCACTTGTATATATACTTCTGCTCCACACATCTGCATAGGAATATTCTCATGGCCATCTTGACTCCTCCAGACGTCGCATACTTACTCTATTTGTCTTATGTTTGAAATTTTCTTTCCTAGGAGTCCCTCAAACACACCAGGATGTTTCTTGTGTTGGACACTCCGAGGAATATGAGACTTCCTCCCCCTTTCCACATGTCTCCTTTCCATTCCATTTGGTTCATGGTCCTAAGCCCTCTGTGTCCTCAGTACACACGGAAGAGGAAGAGCTCATGAAAGTTTACTATATGCGTGTCCAAATGAAAAGGGGGGTGGCTGTCTTATGTCATCCCGAGGAGGGGCTGGAGCCTCCCTCCAAGAAGACAAAAATAGAAGAAATGACCTTTCATGAAAAGATCCAGGCAGAAGTCACCCCCTCTCATGTAGGTACGAAGGAACTCCTAACTGACAGTGAGTCCAGCTGGAATGATGAAGCCCAAGAGGAAGAGGAGGAGGCTGATAGTCCAGCAGAGCCTCCAGCTGTGGAGGAGCATTCCAGAGCCAAGACACCTGAATGGCTCGTGGCTTTGGACAGTGGCTTCAGGTGCATGGCCTGCTGCCGGGTCTTTCCCAGCTTAGAGGCCCTCCAGGAGCACGTGCGGCATGGGGTCAGTGAGGGCTTCAGCTGCCATACCTTCCATCTGGCCTTGACTTGGCTGAAGAACAAGAACAGGGAAGAAAAGGAGAAGAGTAAGCAGATGAAGAATACCAAGAAGACAACATGTAGATGCCAGAAAGAGAAACATTTTGGCATGAAGTTGTCTTCATGCAAATAAACAGACTCTTTTCAGCCCCTACAAGAGAAGCAGTAGAGTAGGCCAGACTCTACTGACGGGGCATTATCTTCTCTAAGCAGCCCTAGGACCCACCTTTATTTATGCACGTCTCCGACCACCACCACTCCCAGCACACCACCACCAGGAGCAGAGAACCCCTTTCAATTCTCTCCATTGCTCTCCCAAGAAGGAGGGAGAAGGCAGTGCCCACCAGACAGAACAGCAAGATGGTCTCATGCAAACTAAAGAGCAGTGAACACCAGCATATCGTCTCCACCATTACACTGAAAAAAGGAGACTCGTTGGAAGGGGAAACTGCTGGGGGCCGGATTGTAGAAGAGGTGAGGGCCCCAGGGGTAAGGAGAACACCTCAAGGATTCTTGGGACTCAGGATTCTGAGACAAGATGGCATCTGCCAGAGATGCCTCCCAAGGTTCCGTAATAACTGATGAATAGTTTCCTTCAGAGGAATACATACTTGGAGGTAGAATGCTTGCTGGATGACAAATTAATGAGAGTGCTTCCTCTCTATGCCCTTTGCGGAGACAGGAGTAAAGACCTGACTAGTAGTTCAGTAGGGCAGGGAAGCCCGGGCCCATCATTCCTAGATAAACCAAATGTCATGGGAGTCACATCCTTTGGCCTGCCTCCCTTTCAAGAGGTGCAGGGCAAAGCAGAGACAAACTTTCTCTCCTGGAGGAAGGGTTGGTATGCAGGCTGGTCCTAGTCCTGCCCTTATCCTGAGTGAGAGTGAAATCTCAGATGTCCTGTCGTGATTTTCATACCCAGAAGAACCTCCTGGAGAGTTACAGTCACTAGAAAGAAACAACCAGAGGACTCCTTTTTTTCCACCCTTAATATGTACTAGGAGCCAGTAGTTCTGGCTGCTTCCTTTAAAGTGTCAGATGCAACTGGAGAAAGAGAGGGTTAGAGGCTACCCTTCTGCCATGGACCATTTCTGGCAACTTTTTTTTTTCTTTCTTTTAGAGGGAGAGTGAGCAGGGGGAGGGGGCAGAGGGAGAGAAAGAATCTTAAGCAGGCTCCCCACCCAGTTGCGGAGCCTGACACGGGGCTCAATCTCATGACCCTGAAAAGATGACCTGAGCCGAAATCGAGAGTCAGATGTTTAACTGACAGGTCCCATTTCTCCTTCCTTTTACTTTTGGACATGGCTTCATTCCTCATTAACTTTCCCATTCGCTAGTAGCATGGCACAGGTATGCCCTCCTACCTTCACTCCTTCACACAATCAGACTAATCCCATAAGGAATTTACATCCCCTCACACAGATCACCTGTTTTAACTCCCTCACACTAAGCCAAACTGTGGAAAATTGGTATACTCTCTGGCAATTTTTAATGTGTTGCTTCCTGGAGGATCCCCATATTCTTTGAAGAAGGTTCACAGTTCCCACATCTTATTCTTTATTTTTGTTACAGCATCAAGTGCCTTGTTCTAAGGGATCAGTAGAGGGGTTAAACGTAGATGAGGCTGCAAAGACATTGCAAAGCCAGCTTTGTACTACAATGACTAGAGTGTGTCTTTTTAGTTAATGGGACAAAGGATGGGCTCTTCTTCCAGGCTCCAAAAGTCAGAATGGAACCTGGGAATTGCCCTGAATTTTTTGAATCATGTAGAATGAAAACGTTTATCACTAAAATAAGAAAAGCTGCCTTCCTCATTGAATAGATCTCCTCTGTTTTGGTTTTTTCTCAGCAACACAGACCCATTGGCCCAAAGATTTCAAATGATAGTGTCCAGCACATTCCTGCAGTCTGATGGGAGCACAGTAGTTCGCATGAGCCCCCCAGCATCAAGGGATGGCTGGCTGAAGATGAATGTACCTGATATTCTGCAGCTGCTCCCAGTTGACCTGGTAAAATCTGGTGCCCAGCTCTGGAGAAAATATCCACACAGAGCCATGAGGAGCCCAAGGAATGCTGGGAATATTGGGCACTCAGGAGCCCCTTGGAAAAACTGCTTCTGCTGACCCTTCCTTACCCTGCCAGGAGTCAGGCACCACTGAAAATGCCTGTGAGATTGCCTGATGGGGAAGAGGGCAGTATAGGTAGAGAGATTTTAGAACTGTGATCAGCACATGTCTCCTACCTAGAGCTTTCACCAGTGGAACAGAAGATTGATGACAGCTTGGCAGGACTCAGGGGATGAGATTGCTAGCTTGACAGAGGATCTAAAAGGAGATTTTTCTTTCCCCAATTTGACTTCTACTTGTAGCTTCTCGAGTCCCTCGCATTTATTGTAGGTTTGAACACCTGGCTCGGAGTCTTACTTTCCAGCCCGGCTATTGCTCTTCACTCCCCCACATCTTCTATCCATGAACATGTGCCTGAACACTCCAAATATCAGTGGTCCAGATTTCAATCCATACCCTTCCTCCCCTACACTTGCACCCACACATTTCCTCCACTGTAGTCTCTGTTAACAATTTTACTTATTTTTCTATATCCTTTTCTTTATATGAACATATGCCTTTCTCCATATCTTGCATGGTTATTTGGCTGGCGGATAGACATTATTGAGAGAGGAAAAGCTATTGCACAAATGAAACAAAAGCAAAGAACCCCCCCCCCACTTGGCTTCTCTGGGCTTGTGCACACGTAGGCGTGCAAACCCTTCTTATACAGTCATAGGAGAGAGGATGGAAAGTGTAATAAATCATCAGGGATGATCAGATATGTGTACACAAGGGTGTTGCAAAAGTCGTAATGCAGCTTTAAGCTTAATTTTAGAAGCATAAAAGATACCAAGTTTTGAAAAATATAATTTACATGTTGAATTATTTGCATGTCACACTTAAATTGTGTATTTTCAAAGATCAATTTTAATTTTTCTTTGTCACTCTGCCATCTTCAATCAGAGGGACAGAAACAAAGAAATTTTAAAGTGTTCTTTATAGTTCACAAAACTATATAAGGAAAATTAAAATAGTTCAACTTTCAAATGGTATCATTTATAATTTTTAGCTTTGCACTTCTGAAATTATTAAAGCTAATAACTGCTATATGGCATTTGGGAAATATACATTTACACAGGTATATACAGGTTTGTATCAGATACATGATTAGCTTGGAGTTGTCCCCATGGATATGTACATATGAGAAGCTTATGTGCACCTGTGTGTCATTGAAACCAAGAGGTGGATTATAGTTGCTTTTGCTTTCATCTGCCTTCTTCTTTTTCCTCCTTCTTTTGATAAGAGTCTCTCCTTTCTGGCCAAATACATGTGTAAGTCAGTCAGACTAGCCAAGTGAAGTCCTTACTAGACTACTTGGCTTCCATGATTCACCTAGGGGTAGACATTGGTCTGTGTTGGAACAATCTGTACTGATTGATAGCTTGGAGAATTAAAACAGGAGCTAGAGACTGGGCAGATTCCTGGTGAGTTATCCTTTGTCTGTAACTCAAGTTAACGTCTGTGAGCCTCTACTGCTGGACTTGCTTCAATTCCTCTTTTTTGGAAGACCTGGCTGTTTTAATTATTACTTTAATATGCTAAGCATCCCCACTAACCCTTCAATAAATTCTTGTTTTGCTTCCATTAACCTGAGTCATTTACTGTTGTTTGAAACCTAATGTCCCTTAATTGATGCAAATTAGCTTCAGTATGATCATTTCTTCCATTTTAATGGTTGAAACGATATGGCCTAGAAAGAAATAACATTACATTCCTCTGACTTTATACTGAAACAGTAAGGGATATACTTAACACTCAGTAGGTACACTATATCCTTGATTAATTAGAAAGGTGCATGAAAAATGATTGGGTGTATAAGCAAAATTATTGGACTTCAAAGCAGTCAAACTAGATTAAACCTCTTACTGCCACTTAGCAAATTTGCACAGTTTCTGAGTCAGTGCTCTATCTTAAAAATGGACATCATGATACCTAAAGAAATACTACTGGGGAGGGTAATCAGATACAGGTAAAAGCACCTAACTTAGTTATTCAAAATAAATTTTCATTCATTTTTGGTATTTACTTTCTTTACCTTTGATTATCAGTAGTTTGACTAGGATGTGTCTGGGTAGGTTTTTTTTTTTATTGTTTGAGATATGCTGAGCTTTTTAAAAAACCTTTTAAATTTTGATATAAACTCACAAGAAATTGAACAAAGACTCTAGAGAAGTCCCATGTACCCATCAGCCCACTTTCTTCAACATAATTACAGTTCATTACCAAACAAAGGAAATTGATTGGAACAAAACAACAAAGCACATTGCAGACCTTACTCAGATGTCACTATTTTTGCGTGTGCTCATTTTTTGTCTGTTTTTATGTATAATTCTATGACATCTTAAACCCTGTATAGAATTATATACACATTCATTGCAGTCACGATCATTGCAGCTTCTCCGAGGCTGCTCTTTATGAACACACCCATCTTCCCTTGCCCCAACTCCTGACAGCCACTTCTGTTCTCCACCTCTGTAAGGTTTTCATTTCACAAATTTTATAGAAATAGAATCATGCTGTATGTCAACTTCTGAGATTGGCTTTTTCCACTAAGCATAATTTTCTTAAGATCCAGCCAAGATGTTTGAATACACTGATACTTCATTACTTGTATTGCTGAGGAGTATTCCATTTAATTGTAGAGCATTGCAACACATCCCATGTTCTAAGGTACTTGGTCAGTTCCAGTTTTTGGTGACTATAAATCTGTGACATTAGTGCAAAGGTTTTTATGTGGATATCAGGTTTCCTCCTCCTAGTGTAAATGCCTAAGAGTGTTACTGTATAAGTATTAGTATAATGTAAGTATAGATATAAGTATTTTTAAGCCATTTTAAAAGATATGCAGTAGTATTTTGTGGTTTTAATTTGTGTTTTCTTGTGACTAAGGATGCTGAACATCTTTTCATGTACTTGTTTGAATACTCTCTTTTGTGAACTGTGTAAGTCTTTTACCTATTTTTAAATTAGATTGTTTTATTATTTAGAGAGTGATTTGTATGCTTTAGATATCAATTACCTGTTGGATATGTGATTTGCAAATATTTTCTTGCAAATATTTTCTCCCATCTGGTGGCTAGTCTTTTTATCCTCTTAACAGGGTCTTAGGCCTAGCAAAAGTTCCAATTTTTATGAAGCCGAATACATCAACTATTTTCTTTTATGAATAGTACCTTTAGTACCTAAAAAAAAAAAAAAAAAAAAAGGCTGTTCTTCCACCACGGAATTACTTTTGTAGTCTTGGCCAAAAATCACCTGATCACATTTGTGTGGGTCTATTTCCACACTCCCTATTTCAAGTTCCACTGATCAGTGTGTCTGGATATTGATTTGCCATTGTATTGATTGCTGTAGATAGTAAGTCTGAAAAATGGATAGTATGTTTCTTCCAGTTTGATGTTTCTTTTTTTTAAAGATTTTATTTATTTGACAGAGACACAGCGAGAGAGGGAACACAAGCAGGGGGAGTGGGAGAGGGAGAAGCAGGCTTCCCGCAGAGCAGGGAGCCTGATGTGGGGCTCAATCCCAGGACCCTGGGATCATGACCCTAGCCGAAGGCAGACGCTTAACGACTGAGCCACCCAGGCACCCCCAGTTTGATGTTTCTTTTCTGAAACTGTTTTAGCCATTCTTAAGTCCTTTGTGTTTCCACGTAAATTTTAACGTAAGCCTGTAAATATATACACAAAAATCTTCTTGGGATCTTAATAGGGCTTACATTGAATCTATAGATCAAAGAACTGACATCTTTAATATGCTGGGCATTTCAAACCATGAATATTATATGTCTCTCCATTTATACTTAATATTTTAGGTCTTCTTTGATTTTTTTTATCTTTTATTTTTTTTTACTGTACTTTTCATTATACAGAGCCTGTGCATGTTTTAAAAGTTTTATACACAAGCTTCTTGAATCGGTAAATTCGTCTTTCACAAAATTTGAAAAATCTTTGGCCCTTAGTTCTTGAGATATTGACTGCACTAAATCTCTTCTCTTCTTCAGGGACACCAGTGGCCTAAATGTTAGAGCTGTCGATGTCATCCCACAGTTGTCAGAGGCTCTGTCTATTCTTTCAACATTTTTTTCTTTCTCTTTTTCAGATTGAAATTCTATTTATCTACCTTCAGATTCACTGAATCTTTGCTTTGTCATTCCCATCCTGCTCTTTAGCCTCATTCATAATTTTTAAAATTTAAGATATTGTAATTTTCTGACATTTCCAGTTGGCTCTTAACTGCTTGTCGATCTTTATAATACTCTCATTTTCCACTCCTTTCAAGTTTGTTTATCTTTACCTCATTAACCATAGTTAATAGTAGCTGTAGTAAAGCCTCTTTCTGAAAATTGCAACATCTCTGTCATCATGAGATTGCCATCTGTTGGTTATCTGTTCCCTTGAGAGTTGATCATATTTTCAGGTCTTTGTTTCTTGGGTAAATTAGAATTGTATCTGATACATTTTCAATATTACAGGGAAAAATTCTCAGTGCTATTAAAGTTCTCTGGCAAATGTATTTTATATTTTTGCACGCAATCAGCGTGGCTAAGTTCAGAGTGCAAATTTTGTATCATTTTATGTGGGTGATGGTTTCAGTGTCAGTTCAGTTTTCAAAGCCTTTGCTATGCTCCCTCGGGTCCCTCTTGTGGGACATGAGCCAATGAGGGGTTATTCCGGGATTGGCGCAAAATATTCAAAGTATTTTTTCATTCATTCTCAGTTTTTAGTGCAGCTTATTTGAAGCTAAATCATATGGAAATAGTGGATTTCTTCTTCTTTCTTTTAAGATTTTATTTATTTGACAGAGACAGAGATAGCGAGAGCAGGAACACAAGCAGAGGGAGTGGGAGGGGGAGAAGCAGGCTTCCTGCCGAGCAAGGAGCCTGATGCGGGACTCGATCCCAGGACCCCGGGATCATGACCTGAGCCGAAGGCAGATGCTTAACGACTGAGCCACTCAGGTACCTGGAAATAGTAGATTTTAAAGGATTCTTGAAACTATTTAAAAAAATACCATTCATATCAATCTTATCTTTGCAGCAACTGGCATATTTCTTTAACAACGGGATATAACCTGCATTCTGCAGTTGTAAATATTGAAGAGTTCCATAATGGATCTTGTTAAATGGGCAAATAAAATTTCTTGCATGCTACCAAGTCCATTTTTGACATTTATTATTTATTCTTATTTTACAGTGACTAATAATTCTAGTGTCTGTATGGATTATATTGATTTTTCACATTTGCCTATAAAAGTGTATATATATATGGTTCTGAAATTAAAAATCCTCCTCATGCTTGTCTTTATTTTTTCCTCTCAATTCCAGTATACTTCATATTAAGTACAGTATAAAATAATTTTTTTAAAAGTCTACTTTCTACAGTGGCTACCACAGAGTGATTTCAGTATGGAAAATTATCTGTTTAGTGTTAATAAGGACAGCTCTTTAGTTTTCCTGTATGGTGAAAATTGTGTCCATTTATAAAATACTTTTTCATATTATGGTATTGTGCCTTCATTTTAAGTCCACACTATTTTTTTTTACATTGTATAGCTTTTCTTTATGTGGCATGGAATTTTAAAAATATGTTTGCCATTGCAGATAGAATGACTTAGAGTTTGCTTTATTTTTATTTTTAAAATTAAAAATTCAAGGAACTCTATAATCTCCTGTTAATCCCATCCAGTGTATTTTTTTAGGTTTTATCTCTACAAGTGTGATTTTGGGTCTTTTTGATATTTTCTATGTCTCTACCTATTGTATTCAATATTTTATAAGTTTGTTGAACATACGGAGTATTACTATGATAATTATTTTAATGTCCGTATCTACTAATCCACCTTCATTGTGGTGTCATTTCTGGATCAATGTTGATTAATATGTGTTCTATTTTCTTGCATCTCTTCATGCTTGATAATTTTTGTTTGAATGTCAGGCATTGTGAATTTTATATATTGCCTGTTGGAGTTTTTAAATTAATATTATACAAATTATAGAACTTCTTTCCTAGGATAAGATCAGATTACCTAGAAACATTTTGACCTGTTTGGTCTAACCTTTAAACTTTGTTAGGTGGAACCAAAGCTACATTTGTTGTAGGGTTCTAGGGTTAAATTACCCCCTTCCTGCTATTTAGGAAAGACAGTTTATACTCTAATCATTGCCCATTGATTTATGAATTTTCCACTCTGGCTTTAGGTATAGGAATTTTTCATAGCCCTGTGCAACTACAGACATTCTTCCTTCTAGTACTTTCAGAGCTAATTTTTTTTTTTTTTTTGCTAGCCTTGATTAAGTTCATCACATGTATTCCCTTATTGTGTACTCAGCTAAATATTTGAATGGGACTTTCTACATAAATCCAGACTCCTCTCTCTGTGCAGCTCTTTTGTTCTTGTGTCTTACAAACTATAGGTTCACTGGATTCCCTGTACTCCCAACTTCAGGCAGTCCAGCAGGCTCTCCCTGGAAGTTCTCTCCCATTGCCTTGCCCTTGAAATTTCCTCTGGGCAGTAGGATGGAGCAGTTTTAGGGTTTACTTCATT